CTTAGTCTTTCTACCCAATCTGGATTACTAGCTTCGCTGTAGATAAACAGACGCACTACTTTATATAGGCGTCGCAGTACTTTATTAGTGGTGTATAAGCCTACTAGGGGCAAGAAGCTATAGCGCAAGCCTGTCTCTATATAGTAGAATTAACGGAGTCGTTTCTGCTAGCAATAAAACCGAAATAGTAATATATAACTATAAGTGTAAGCATCTTATATCTAGCCTTTAGCCTTTATAGTTAGTAACCCTAATCTCTCCTATCTATAGAGGCTGCTAACTCTTTCTATAAAAATCACCTCTTATATCTACTTACTCTCCTTTCTTTACCTAGTATCCTTCTCCTCTATATTCCTTATAGCTACTCGCTTTAACTCTAGCAGCAACTAGCTATAGCGTGTTATATAATTTAAAAATACCTTCTATTACTTCTCTAGCTTTTCCACCACCTTACTACTATAGCGCGTAGTCTTCCGCTAGGTAATCTATATACACGCGTATACACGTATATATATACGGAAGTAGTGAGTAGTACACTAAGTAGTACTAATACTAACTATATCTCGCCTTTACTATAGTAAGTAGTAGGTACTCGAATACTATAGTAGAGTAGTATTAGAAGAATAAGCCTTCTAGAACTAAAAGCTACCTAACTTTAAATTAGGTTTCAAATCTCTCTATATGTTTATTTTTCTCTCTAGTCTTATTATAATATTCATACTTAGTCGAGGACCAGATTTCCTTCTTAGTTTTATTATAATAAATATTTTAATATTCGATTTCCGCTTACTATTATTGTCACTCCTGAGTTCGCTATATAAAAAACAAATTCATAATTTTATCTATAGGCTATTTCTCTTTTCTCTTCTAACTCAGACTTACTACCTTCTTCTACTAGTTCCTCATCTAGCACGAGCAATAGACTAATTCCCGGCTTTAGAGGGTTTTAGGATAGTTTTACCTTATTCTTTTATAGCTTTTAGTTTCTATTTCGATATTTACTAATCCTGCGCTATTGCTATATACACTTTATTTCTCTTACGGTAGCCGATATTTGAAATTCGCCTTCCGCTTATATACTAATAATAATAATACTAGTTAAGGTTATTTATATACTTTCGTATTCTAAGGTGCTCTATCGCTATACCTAGCTAATAAATTCTCTTTTTTACCCACTTTTTACTAGTAATATAAACTAGGCTATACTAGGCCCACCTATTCCCTTAGAAGCGCGTCTTTCTATTTTAGAATATCCTTATTACTAGCTTTTAGGCGCCGTGGTATATTATCTCTATACTTAACTATAGAATTTCCTTACTTACTTCTTACTAGTAAGTAGAATTAAGCCACGCTAAGGCGACATAGCCTTCTAAAACACGTTTATGCGTCCCAGCTAATAATAAAGGACTAATAAACAGCCTATTTATATTCGACGCTCGTCCTAGTAGAACTACATCTTATTTAAAGAACTCTTACTAGCAATCTAGCTAGTAACACTATAGCGGTGGTTATTAATAGTAGACTTAGCTTTATATTAGTGTTAAGAATAGTATAGGATACTATTACGTAACGCCGCAACCTTAAATAGAGCCTTTTCCTAGCCGCCAACAATTACATCCTAGTAATAGACTTTTCACTCGTTCTATAAAGGCTTATCTTAGACTCTTTTAAATAATATCGAACCAATTTTCTTAGTATTATCGCAGCTCTCACCTATATAAGACCTTACTAACCCTTATAGTTCTAATTCTGCTACTTATTAACAAGTTATTTATTACTTTAACATGTTACTAACCTTAGCTAGCCTATCTTATCCTCGAGTTTCTCTTTAGCCGGTTCTTAATCTAGCTAATATACTAATCTTTCTTAGTAAGGCGAAGGACCTCTTTGTCTTGAAGCACGTTCTTAGTAAAAAGAAGCTAGCTACTATTACACGCTCTTCTAGTCCCTAACACTAATATAGACGATCTTTTTATCCTATAATTTTATCTACTTAGTATATACTAGCGCAGCGTATATAGATACACGATCCTTCGATGAACGTAACAGCCACTATATTAATTAATATACTAATTACTATACCGAACACAACATTTTAGACGGACCGCCAGCTGTATTCCTACTTAAGTTACGCCCCAAATAATCTACTAATAAAGCGTTGCTTATATAAGATAAGGGACTATTCTTTATTAAATTAGTGCCTATATTACGGCTGGCGGACAGCTATATATAGGAATACGTCCAAATAATAAGTCTACTAGATACAATAATCTATTTAAAGCCACTAACTAGTTTATTAAGATCTAAGTATTAGAGGATGTTAATAAGCGCACCTCTTTAGTCTTCTCTTATACCACCTTCACTTAAGCACTAGCTATTATATACATTCTCGCACTATTCCGATCTTGCTCTCATCCTAGTATATATAATTTATAGATAATTTCGATAAATCCAGCTATCCGTCTATCTAGATAGATATCTATTATCTATTAGATTATAATAATTAGCCGCTCCGGTCTTGCTCCACTATACCTATTAAGTATTGCACCTAATGCTATCTCGGAATCACTAACGCTCTTAAGTTCATTTACTGTAATCTCTCTAGTCTCTTATTCTTTACTACCACCACTTAATGTAAAAAGGTCTAATAACTAGTCTTTAAGGCATGTACTGTAATAGAACCAATTATATTTCACTTTATATTAAATAACATCCACTCTATATTGCAATTGCACTAGCAGCACTATTTATAAGTACTATAGCTAGAATTCTACATCCTTTTTACTTGCTACACTTATAGGTAGTATTATAAGCGCACCCTTATAAGCACTATAGACATCTAAATTACTATTAGGTCATTCTAGCTCAGCCTTACTCCTATAGGCTAAAGCTAATACTATGTGAGATTATCTTTTATTCGTGCCTATTAAAGAGGGAAGGTTTCTTTCTATTAGCCGGTATTTAGCGGTCTTAGCCTATACCTTAAGGTGTATGTCTTTCTTTCACTAAAGAGCTAGGTAAAGTAGCCTAAGAATTAACTCTAAAGATGTTAGAATCCCTTAACTAACATATAACACAGCTATATTAAGAACCTATAGGCTAGAGCGTTAGTATCTACTAAATAGCTAGACTATCTACACCTTTATATAATAGACATTTTCTCTTACTCCAGTCACTATTTTTATTGCTAACCACTACACACTCATATAGCTAAGGACAAGCTTGGAGGCTTAACGAAAATATTACCTAAACCTACTAATACGCGGTTAAGCGCCGATAGTAGAGGCTTTTAGCTACTATACACGTTAACCTTCTATATTGTCCTTTTAAATTCAGGTCTTATCTCTTAGCATTAATAGATATTATCACAATCACTACTTATACTATTAAATTATTCTAATACTATCTTACTTAGAAGGCAAGCCTATAGGCTTTTTTATTAAGCCCGCTATTATACTAGTGGGTGCCGGTAGTCTTCGACCACTACGCGCGTTAAGTTTAATATAGTCTTCCTTTCGCAGAGATCTCTTCTCGGCTATAAGTACTATTATATTATTTGCTAACACGCTTTAAGCCGAAGTGTATAAGTAATAGCAGAATACTTTCGAGCTTATTAGCAAACCGCGAACTATTACTAGCGATATATAATTATTATAAGTCTAATCTATACGCCTACGACCCGCCCCTAATCTTTTTCTTACTAGCAACTAACGCTATTAATAAACCTAGCAGCAAGCTACACTAGACTTTAAACTTTAAATAAACCCTACATGCTCTTATCTATAGTCCCTAGAATGTGTACTTTAGTAAAACTACGCCTCCGCACTACCCTTAGCAATCCGGCCAGCAGCGCCCTAGTAGCAGGAACCAATAGTAAGTCTAGAGCTGTTATCGCGTAAAACCCTACCCTATCTTCTACCTCACCCAATCTTCTTCCCACCTATAACTAATATCACCACCTTTAACATCGTCAATCTCGCTGCTTTAGACTATTAAGCTCTTAGGCTTAGCAAGTCATCGTTAGAGCTTGCTTACACTCTCTAAAGACGCGTTACTGCATGACTTTCAAGTCCTTCCTGACGTTTTTTAAGACCTTATCAAGAAGCTTGCCATATAGATAAAGCTACTCCTCGAGCTCTCTAGCTTTGTCCGAAGCACAGCTTATACCTGTCTTTAGGAAGTGAGCGTTAAGCCGGTCGTATCGACAGCGACCGACTATAAAGAGGTAGATGAGCTTATCCGCAAACCGCTGCTATTAACTCTTTTTCGTTCCGCCTCAACTAATGTTACCTGACCCGCTGTTGTCCTCACTCAGACTTCCACTAATCCTCCTATCGCTATTCCCGCAGTTCCTTCCGGAGCATCACGTGATGAGAACCCACAAATCATACCGAGTAAGTGATCTTGCCTCCCAACCCGTTCTACTTCTACAGCATGCGGGCACGCCGGGTGACAAACACAAAAACCACAACGCAGCGTCCCCGTGAGGACCTGCGCCTACTATGCTCGCTGGAGGAGAGGTAGGTTCAGTTGGTAGACACAGCCAGCAAGAGTTCCGGAGCGCGTATCCCGACCGTAGCCCTCAGCACTTCTTCCAGCTTGTCTCGGTTCGTCGTGGTTTGAGCACACTTTGCTAGCCGTAATGCATCGCCGCTGCACGCTGCACTGGCGTCCGAGGTTGAGTCGAAAAGTGCAGGTGGTTGAGTTGGACGAAAGGTCATGTGCCAGATCACGTGACAGGCATCCTGACTGGCTTCGTGAAATGTTCCAACGTTATCTCAGCCTTGCGCTTTGCTAGGAGTCGAGTGCGTGCACAAGTAGTTGCCCTAGACCCGAACTGCGCTTCTCGATCATACTATTCTACTAAGCGACTGATACATGTGATGAGAAAGAGACTGATACACGTAAAGAGAAGAGACTGATACTGTAGTAAGAAAGACGAAGGCGAAAGAGTCCAGTCTTTAACCACACGGTGCTGTTCCTGCCGACTCGGTCCGCTTTCATAAGCTTGTTCGCCTTCCCGATCCGTCTCCAGTGCGAACCTCCCATAGCTTCTCCGCACCCCTCTTGCCCGCTTCTCCTTCCGCGTTCCAGTAACCCGCCTCAGTATCCTCCCTCACCTGCGGAAGCGAAGGGTACAATCTCGGCGCTACAGCACCGATATCCTCCTTTGGCAGAGGCGCATTTGAAACCTTCACCCAGTTCTGGTACCTCTCTATCTTGAGCTGCGACGAACGCGAAGGGGCCCCAGCCTGAGCCTGCGCTACAGTGCCAGTCCTGTCGTGCGTGGCAGCCAAGTCAGCTCTCTTGGCCTCCACTGCGGAGTCGACCCTAGGCATGGTGTTCGTGGTGACCGTCTCCGACATGGTTGGCGGGTATGGCAACGGGGCCTGAGGCTGGACTCTCGCGTTCGCGCTGATAGGCGCGAGCGGGGCCCTAGATTCAGGCCGCTGCCATTGCATGTCTGCTGGACGAGCCGGCCCCTTCGAGCTATTGGATGAGGCATTGGCATCATGGCCGCTGAACGGACCATCGCTCTTAGGCGGGTCGGTATTGCCGTCCCAGTTCTGGTCCAAGTACCAACGCTTAGTCCAAACCGGCCAGTCCGCCGAGGGCTTTCCGTTAGTCGAGGTGTAACCGACGAAGCGGAGCTTGTAAAGGAGGTTGTACCTGTCACGCAAAATATATGTTAGTGCCGCCTAGCGTCTGAGGGTGAGCCGAAGGACACGAGGCTTACTGGAGCGCGTTTGCAGTGCGTTGCGCAAGCTCCTTGTCCAGCTCCTCGCTATGACCGATGAAGCCGAGAGTCTCTAGTAAAGGTTTAATGTCCCTCGGCTTGACGTTACGCGCAATCTTGAAGGCAGCACTGAACTTGTTGAACTCCTTCTTATCGTCCGCAGTCCACTGGAGGTGGTGGCGCGTACCCAGGACGTCCTGGACGGATAAGCCGCGGAATTCCTGCGTACTCGTTAGATGATAGGTCGAGGATGAAGATGAATTGACATACCGTTGTTCCCAGCTTGCTGGTCAGCTTCTTGGAAGGCTCCTCCACGCTCTCGGAATCGCTCTCATCATCGGCGTCGCTACTACTCCCGCCGCCAATAGCGTTGATGGTAATATTTTGCCTCACATACTTCGAAGATGCTTGCTTCAGCTACGTCAGCAAAAGTTACTAAAATAGAGGAAGGATCGAAGCATTAGATCGAAAATCACCTTCTTCAACAACCGAGTTGTCGGTACCATTGCGTTATCCGCGGTTCTCCTGTGTAGGTGCGCTGCTCCTGAAACGTCCAGAGAGTACGGGGGCATGGCCTTCTCTAAATACCAACCCCCATAACCGGCACGATTCGGCAGCATCCTTTATGGCCGGCCCGATTCGAAGGGACGTATCGGTGAACGGCTCACGTATTGCATCTGCAGTAACGAAGCGCGCTGGTCTTAGATGTCTGTCTCACCCGTATCGAGCTTCCGTCAATCACTAGTATCGGAGACAAGTGGTAACGTCATAAGCTGAAGTTGTCAAGGCTTGTCGACGGGCGGTACGGAGTAATTATGCACTGCAACTGGTCGTCTAGCAGTACTACCACTAAAAGGTGGTGGAATGGATGCTTTCATAAGCGTTCGGCTTGACTTGGAGTTTTGCGTGACACGATATGAGATGTGGAAGCGCTGCAGCGTTACATACAGAACTCAACTTCTTTGTTGCACCTAGCATTTAGCTTGACGTACCTTAGCGGTGGCCGTGATACTTGGCCAACGACTGCGGCTTCACGCACCGCCTTGACAAAGACCTGGGCTCACCGCAAACACGTCCTAACGCAGTCAGCTAGCGTAGTGCCTGCAGCTTGTCTGTTTGTTTCGCCTGCAACAACGCGTTCTGACGGACTGGCAACATCTAGCGGACGGTATGGAGGTTTTCCGCCCCTTTACCTTCCCAGCACGCAACAGCGTAGCGCAGTGCTACTCAGCTGCACTCGTGTCCGACCTCCAGCCGACTAGCCGCTGGATCAGCCGCAGGTTCCAAAACTCCGGCATTAGGCTCTCCTCCTCCAGCAACAAGGCAGCGACGGCCCTCCTGAGCCAGCCTAAGCTGCTCTCGCTTACCGAAACCGTAGCGTCGCAAGCTAGCGCGCTCGCCAAGTCCGCCCGTGATTTCGAGGCCCGTTACCGCCGCTTCATAGACGCGGCTGAGGTACGCAGCGAAATGACGGCAGCACAATTCCCAGCTGCCGGCAACAGCACAGCGCGCGCGAAGCTAGCGGCCGAGGAAGCGCGGCTGATGGCACCGCTGCTCCGGTGGGCGGAAGAGGAATCGGGTAAACTCGTTGCGGCTATGAAGGCGGATCTCATCGCGCGGGCGAAGCAGCTGGAGGTAGCGTTGCTCGACCTGTCAGCGGTCGGGGGGCAGGAAGACGAGCACATAAGACGGGAGATTGAAACGGCTGAGCGCATCCAGGATTCATGGAAGAAGCACCTTCACTGGCATAGCGAGCAAGATCTATTGGACTTGAGAAAGATGCAGCAGCTGATGGGACTCGTCCATAAGGTGACCATGTGGGCCATGGAGGAGAGCGAGGATATAGTGCCCGACCTAGACCGGTACTACGACGATGTTGTGGGGACTATAGCGGTAGCCGGAGAAATTGAGCGTGCGGTGGCAGGCGCGAGGGGCGGGAATGCGGGGATGCGAGGGATGCTTGCGCTTGGGAATAGGATCATGAGTTTGAGAATGGAGCCGGCAAGGAGAAGGAAAGAGAGGGCCGGCAATAAGGTGTGAGGGACAGCGCTGTAGGAGTTACAACTGGAAACTGTCTTGGGTCGTCTACCGCCGTCCAGCGTATCACGTTCTTTATTCAATGCAGCTGTCTTTATGTCTTGCTTGAGTGATAGACGAGGGTTTGCGGGACGCAATTGTTTAACATTTTGCTCGTTCTTGCCCCTTGATAACTGTTAAAGGATGCCTGTACCAAACTAATGAGCCATTAGCAGTGTTGGCTCTCGTTATCCAATAAAGCACAGATTTTTACCATTTCAGTCACGTGACATGTATCCAAGATTGGACCCACCTCCCCACAGCCACGGGCCCACAGCTCCCCATGGCGCCCTACACACCGAGCTCGACCGCAAGAGGGCACAGCTCCAGAAGGAACAAGCCGAGCATGCAGAGACGAGGGAAAGGCTGGCAGTGGCGATTCGGGAAAGGGACCGGGGAAGGGACGAGCATGCAGAGATGGCGGTGGCGGTACGGGATAGGGATGAGCATATAGCGAGGGTGGAGGAGTTGCTACAGGACGAGAGGGTGGAGCATGCAGAAGCTAGGGAAGAGCTGGCCGCGGTGTCACGGGAAAGGAATACGCTGAAGCGATATTGCGATGAGTTGACCACGACGTTGCGCTGCTTGACAGGCCAGAGATAGATGGAAGCGATAGGGATGGCGCCTGTTGTGAGCTGGGGAGGGGGTAGAAGGCAATACAAAACCTCTAGTGTACGCCTTTCTTTGCAGGACGTAGGCCCATACAACTCCATACTATGCCCAGCGAGAACGTGAATCTCCACTTGAAGCAGCCCAGCGACAGACTACAGCTCAACCTCTCCACATCCCGCACCACATACCGCGTCTTCCTCGTTAAGCATAGTCCGGATGCGCCATCCGATAACAGGACCAATATGGCATTATTAGCAAGGGCGCGCTGGCGGAGAAGCACGCGGGGAAGCTAGGAAAGACCGGCGGTCTGGCCGCAGTTGTGTAGCCGCAGTTGTGTTGTGCGGTGCAGTTGTGTTGTGTTCTGAGTGTTTTGTAGCCTTGCAGCCTTGCGGCCTACAGAAGGCCTAAGCGTTCAAACCGCTAGGTGTCACGATGTAGGAAGGCTTAATACTAGATCTTAATTAACTAAATAGTATATAAGACGCTGTATAAGATTTAGAAGATTAGTAAGCTTAATAGAAAGAAAACTCTTTATATAGAGTATATAAGCTTAGAATAATTAAAAAGAAGGAATTAGATAATCTAGAGATACTAGTAGATATATCTTTATCTCTTAGAATAGCACAAACGGTTACTATCTAAGGTAAAGTAGAGTAGAATACTTTGTCCTATACTCACTAGGCTTTTTCTAAGCTATTCTAATATAACTAACTATAGTTTACTCTATATAACTTATAAAATATATCTAGCTACTATATTCTATTTACGCTATATTATAATGTTATTACCTATAGGCTAAACTATAGAGATCTATAATTAAAACTCTTTTCTTCAAGAATATATATTCTAAATATTAGATTTAAATCTAATCTAGATTAAATTAGCTAAGAAAATATATACTAAACCTAGGCTACTAATATACTATAAGAATATAAAGCTCTAGAAATCTTAGTAGTAATTACTTAATAGTCCCCGCTAGCACTACTAGCGTAGTTTAGAAAGTTCTTACTCTTAAGCTCTATTTTTCTTTCAAAATACTCTAACTATAGTAAGATTCTATATGTTTCTAGCTGTACTAGATTTAGTGTTCTAAGTATTACCTAGACTAACTTAGCTAGTTCTAGCCTAGATAAATAATATTTAGAAGAAAATATACTAATTAAACTAATTCTAAAATATTATAATATTACTATATCTAGTTTTTACTTGATATTATAGAGAAAACAAAGAGTTACATGTATGTATTTAGTAACCTATATAATATTTATTTTTAATATATAATAACTTATTCTAGAGTGTTGTGCTTTAATCCTATTAAATAATCTAGTAGATAGATACTAATTTCTTTACTTTCTCTAAGAATTATATAAAGTATAACTACTACTATAAGAAGAACTATAACTACTACTACAGAAATAGCTATAACTACTTCTAGATAAGAATTAGAACTTCTAAAGTCTTATTAGATCTTTACTATATTTCTTCTATTATTAATCTAGCTATCTCTACTAGAGTCTAGATTTCTCTAGATTTATAGTATATCTAGATATAGTGTTTATAGTTAGTATAAAATAGTATTTATCTAATTGTTTTATTTACGCTTATATTATATACTAGCTATATAAGCGGTAATAATAATACCTAGTTTATTTATCAGTAGTATGTATATTCTCTTAAGTACTACTTAAGTGTAACGTGCGTTACTATAAGATAATAAGGGTTACTATAATAGTTAAGGTACTAATTAAGAAGATAGAAGACAGGGCTAAGATATAATAAAGTTAGATTAATATCACAAGATAATGATTGGATAAGTTATAAGGATATAGGATTCTTATTTTAAGTTAAGTATACTATTCTAATAAATAAGAATAGTACTATGTATATACTATAGCCTAGAGTAAGTATCTATATATCTTACTTAGTCTACTTAGTGTAATTAGCTCTAATTATACTAATTATACTAATTAAAGTCTTAGTAGACTAGAGATAATTAGTTATTATATAATACTTAGCACTAATTACTCTGATTTAGGCCCGCTGCAATCTTGTTTATAATAATATAATTATCTACCTCTAGGATCTTTTATTAAACAATAGCTAAACTAAGACACTAATTCTCTCTTTAGTAATTATATTAATATCTATATAAAAAATATATAACTAAGAGTATTAGAAAATAATAAAGCTTTGAGAAAGTATAGATAATAATAGAACTTATTAAAACATATTTATTATTACTTTTAAGCTCATTTAAGCTATTCTAGAGCTAGTATATTTTAAAAGTACTTTCAGCTATAGTATCCAAAGATATTTGAAAGATACTATAGTAAGATAAAGTTAGATTCCTATAGCTATAGCTACTATTACTATATAAGGTAGTACTAAGCACTATAAGCATATTTAGTAAATTATATAATAATTTACTAATATAGAGATTTCTTACGTCTGCCTTTTTCTAGAATTACTTTATAGTGTTATACCTCTCTAAAGAGTGTATAGTCTAGGCTAGTAATGTATTTATCTCTATTTCTAAACTAATACATATTCTCTATAATACTATCTAGTACTATTAGAGTAGAAATATACTTGTTTTCTAGTTACTATATAATAATTAAGAATTAGAGCTAATTTTAATCTAGAAAATCAATTAGCTTAAAACTATTTTACTTATATTAGTAAAAACCTTTATTACCTCTAAGATCTTAGAGTTACTAAGCCTATATCTATCCTATAAGCAGCTCGTAAGCGGCTTATAAGATAGCGCGATTTACTTAATTTACCTACTAGTTTAAGCTAAATTGCATTACTCTGCAAGATCTTAGAGATACTAAGCTACTAAATAGTATATAAAGCTATAAATCTAGCTTTATCTAACTACATCTATTGAGCCTATCTAGCTAGCTACTAACTACTACTACGTATAGAGCTAGCTACACTATATATCTATAAAATTTCTAAAATAAATAAGTTTAAACTACTTGATTTTTAAAAATGTGAACATTCTATCTCTACTAGCTAGAGGGTGAAAATTAAGCAAGAAACTAAACTCTAAAACTTTTAGAACTAAGTTACTTGCTAGATAGCTTAGCAGCTCTAAGTATTCTAAGTATTCTAACAAGTATAAGAAGCTTAAGAATATAGAGATAATAGATCTAGCTCTAAGGCATTAGATTTATCTCTAAGCTAGATATAGCTAAATCTAATTTATTAGATCTAGCTCTAAGCTAGATACTAGTAAATCTAATGCCTTAGAGCTAGATCTAATACATTAGATTTAGCTGCATATAGTTTAAAGCTAGTTAAGCTACAAAACTTTTACTAATAGAGTCTCTTAGTTTACTACTTAGTTTACTATTTATTTTATATCTTAGCTTCTAATCTAGTCTAGTTACAAGATTACAGCCTAATTATTATCTTAATTTAGTTCCTAGTTATAACAGCTGTTATCTCTAGACAATAATAGTTACTAGTAAATAGTATAATTTCAATTAAGAGATAGAGGATAGTGTAAGATGTAATAAAGTTAGATTAGTATTATATAGTAATTAATTAAGTATATTATAAGAATGCTAGATTCTTTTTTTAAGTTAAGTATACTATTCTACTAAATAAGAATAGCGCTGCCTATATATCTTAGCTTATAGCTTATACTCTTACACTATAATCCTCTAAAATATAGATCTTCTTAGCGGAATTATTAATATTCTCTAATAATTCCTTTAATATAGCCTTTTTTAGTAGAATCGCTTATATTATATTATATACTCTTCTAGGAAATATTATTTCCTAGAAGCTACGCCTTTCTAGGAAATTCTTTCTAGAAGTTACCTAGAAGTATAATACTAGTCTAGTTTATTTTTAATTTACTCTTTATCTTAGTTTTTAATTTAGTCTAAAGTCTAGTCTCTAGTCTAGTCTTTAGTCTAGCTTCTAGTTTACTTTATAGTATAGTATCTATATTAGCTTCTATTCTAGAGAGGTCTTTTAAGAAAATTAGTATTCTTTTACTTAAGTTAAAAATAGATATTCTAGTTACTAAAGGGATTCTTACTCTTAAATCTTCTATTTTCTTCTTTAAAATAAAGGGAGTCTTCTCTTCTTCACGCTCTTCTAAATTCTCTTCCTCTTATGTTTTCCTTATTTTCTTCTCTAAATTTATCGAAATATATATATTATTTTCTTTCATTACCTTCTAAACTTTTAGAAAAGCTACAGAGTTTAAGTTTTACTAAGTTAGCTTTTAGTATAAGTAAGCTCGCTACTATTTATATAATTGATCCTTATATTAGTATGGCTTATACAATGTTAATTCAAACTATATATAGTCTAGGAAAAGTTACTTAAAATAAATTTATGTTTTATAAAGTCTCTATATTTAATAAGCATACGATAGAAGCTACTTAGTATTTCTAGGCTCTATAGTATTCTTTAACTCTTAGTAGTCTATATTTATAGCTTATATCTATATAAAAAAGTATAGTTTTACTATAGATTAAACGATAGAAATTCTAGGTTTTTTATTATAATTTTAGACTTTTTAAGATTTTCTTAGCTATATAAGTGTTTTTATATTCTACTAAGTTTTTATTAGCTATAGAACGCCCTTAAGAGTCTATATCTACCTTATAGCTAGATAGAAAAGGTGTAGTTCTACTAGAAATTAAACTAGCAATCTAAGATACATGTACATAGTTAGTATAGTTAGTAGTTAGTAGTTAGTAGTTAGGGTTATTTATATAGCTTAGTAGTTAGTATTTTTATAGCTAAGCCGCTTATAGCACTAGCTATAGCCGTAGTATAATAGTTACAACTACTAACTCTATAGTTATAATTAAGCTAAACTATAATTTTAAATCTCTAAGACTTTTATAGTAGCGGTTATAGAGCTCTATAAAGTAGATATATTAAAATTATAAGAGTAGACTTAGAAAATTAGGGAGTAGCTTTTATTATTTAGATCTATAGCGTTTATTATAACGTTATAAGCGTTTTTCTTATATAGATTTTAGAGAAAGTTATAGTATTCGCTAGAAAGTATATAAGTGCATGGTTTAGAAAAGTCAAATTTTATTAAGTATATTAACAGATATAGCTTAGAAGAACTATCTAAAGAACTAATAATAATAATTCTTATTATATATATACTGTTATTATTCTTAGAATACTTCTAATAATATTTAAAATAGCTATTAAGCTACCTTTACTATAGCTGATAGAATTCTATAGAGTTAAGTCAAAATTTAACTATATACTATCTCTATTAGATACACGGTATTACGCTATATAGTAACTTATCTAATCTAAGCCTTAAGCTTAGATACTAAACTTTTAAGCTAGTATAGTAGTATAGTAGATAAGTTCTATATCTCTAATAATCTTGCACTACTTATAGTAGAATTCTCTTATTAATTACCTAGTTATTATATAGTGAGTGTTAGTATAGATAGTAATCTCTTATCTTAATTAGTATAAACCCAAAGTAGAGCTATCGTTAAACTCTAGAGTAGAAATATTATTAGAGTATTAAGAAGCGTAGAGCTATAGTAGATAATTATAATATACTTCTTTAGCAGAGTGTTAATGTAAACTTAGTGTTTGTCTTTCTTGATAAATTAATACTATAGTTATTCGATAGGCTCTATTTATTCTAATATATTAAGTAAATATTTAAAAGCTCTATCTAGATTCAAATAAGCTTAATCTATAAGCAAAACTAGTATTTATATATTAAAGAAAGCTGCTTATATATTATCTAATAATAAGTACTATAAGACCGCTAATCTATAAGGGTGATTCTTCTTCTAAAGTTAAATTATAACTATAGAGAGAATCCTAAAGACAAATGTTATACTATTTATAAGGCTCTCTATAGATAGCTATAGTTCGCATAAGGCTAAGCGAGAAGCCTCAAGTTACGTGTTTACTAATATTATGTATAGGATGTTGTTCTAGGGAATTATTATAGTAAACCTCTCTAGAGGGAACGATCAAACTTCTATCGTCGTTCCAGTTCTAGTTACGGCCGCTGAACTGAGCATCGCTGCTTTAAACTATACTAAGGATAAGTAGCCCTAAGCTCGCCCTAAGCATGTTCTAAGCAACGTAATAGGGGGCTTGTTACAGCCCTCCCGGAGCGCTTCCTGACTCTTCTAAGACTTAGGTGTAGTTAACGTGCTCACGCTTATTATAAGGGGCGTCTTGAACGACGGGCGATACGTCCGGAATCGGGAGCTCTTTGGGTAAATTTGTTTCCAATCGATGCTACTTTCTAAACGTCCAGGATCCAGGCAACACAGTCAAATCGCTGAGAAGTAAACAAACATCATAAATGTCTTATCCGATCTATAGTTGAGCGACCCAAGCTTGTCCGCAGCAGACAAAAACCTAGCTTATATTCGGTGGAACAATCTTGCGTAAAAGAGGATCAGCGCACTTGCTCCTCTTTCAGTAAACATGTCTCCAGCCTCTCTCATTCCCCGAATGCTTAGACCATCCTTCCGCTTCATCGAGACGTTTGTTGAGTGTTTTAGCACGCCATTTGATAAGCCAGCAGAGCGCAGCAGAGAAAGCGCAGCCAAATAGAATGAGCCCGCCTCCTAGTCGATAGAACGGTTCTTGGGACCTGGGAAAGAAATAGGGACTGAACCAGTGACTTGTTTGGCTGATGCAATTTGCGATGGCGATCAAAGCGGCTTTCTTGCTCCGTGGGGCGGGAACGAGAGTGGTCTCCCATGAAAGTTGCAGATTCAACCCCGAGTACGTTCCGCTGATGAGCAGGATGACACCGAAGTACCGCACTCCAACATTCATGGTTGAAACCAACATGGCTGTCCCGGCTGCGCTCGCAACAATAGGCACGACGATATGATAGCAAGACTCTTGAAATTTTCCGGATGAGTAGGCCATAGCGCAGGCGACTGCGTATGCGATCGCATAAGGCGGAGCCTGGACGAGATACGTTGTCATCTTTTCGAAGCCGAAAGTGTTGAGGATCTGCAGTAAAGCAACAGCGTCAGTCCCGCCATCCAATAAAGCGATGTTGGGCAAGGAAACTGACTGATGGGAAGAAATCCTTAAAGCTCTGAGCCGTGATGAGCGCGAAATGCATGCCACAGAAGAGCCAGGTGAACGGATCACTAATGGCTTGCTTCAATCCGTCCCACGTTCCCCCAACGCCTTCCTCTTTACCACCATTCGACACTAGAACCCTGTACTGCGCCATCTCTCTTTCTTCTTCGGTCAGGAACTTCGTATTGTGAGGCCAATCAGGCAGGATGAAAAACGCGGCGATGGCAACAGCTATCGAGGCGGCACCTTCGATAATGAAGAACCATTGCCAAGAATGCAAGCCGAGAACGTTGCCCATATGTTCCAAGATGCCCGCAGCAAGGAATCCGGAAATGATGTTGGAGATGGTGTTTCCGGCATGCCAGATGGCCATACGCATGGGGTTCTCTTCCTTGTTGTACCAGGAAGATGTCACTAGCGTTATTCGTAAGCAACTAAACATCCGTTAAGTTAAGGGGGACGGCCGGTATGGACATACTCAGCGTGATGCCTGGAAAAAACGGCGCTTCAGTCAGACCGACAACGAAACGAACAATGCAAAAGCCGGCACCCCTATATGTTGATCAGTGAATGGAAGTTCGCTTCGGAATATCATAACTTACGAAGTCATTGCTGGCATGCAAATAGTAGCGATGCTCCAGGCCAACATCATAGTTGGAAGCACAATACTTGGATTCGCCTTGGCCAGCCAAAGGTTTCCGGGAACCTGTCCGATCAAGTAACCCACATAGAAAGTGGATATCCCGGCGCTCCAGACGGTATCACTCATGTGTAGGTCCTCTTGGAGTCCGGCTAGTCTAGCATTCGAGACGTTGATGCGATCAAGGTAACTGGGAGTGTCAGTGACTGGTGTTCGTTGTTTCCAACCCTCTTTGTAAACTTACTTCATTAGAAACATAATGGTGACGCACGGCATCAGCCTCCAGTCGATCTTCTTAACAACCTTCCGGTTTAGGGCCACCATCTGCTCATGGGTGAGGTCCCGCAAGGTGTTGAAGCGAGATTGAATCTGCGAAGCCGTGATCAAGGGACACTCCACAGTAACCTCGTGGAGCTCGACGTCAGCTTTATTGTCGGCCGTCATTGCGGAGGACGGTGCGATGCTGACTCCACGGCTTGGGATTGCAAGAATGATGCACTAGTGCGACGTAGAAAAGTTATTGAGGTCAACTCTGCTCTCGATTCTTAATGAAACTCTTTCGAAACGGTCGAAGACTCGATCTTATACCCTGCTTTCGAACATTCGAAAAGACTGTCATGCCCTTGGCAGAAGTGGCCACGGTCCGCATCTTTACCCCGGATTACAGCCAAACCGGTGAGATCTACACGCGGAGTCGCGGAAAAGAAGAAGCGGAGCACGGGAGTAACGAGGGCGGGCCTTGTCCAGACCTCCGCCAAGCAGCCTCGCGATTCCGCGGGTGAAGACGGTTAACAAACCCTGGAGAGGGACACCCAGTTCATACCCGACGGGTAGTCTATATCTCGTCCCGGACTGTCGAACCGTTCCACGGAACTGTCTCTTTCGGCAGTTGGACTAACGCCGTAGACGCAGACTCGCCCACAGAAATTTCGAACCAAAGTCCTGGCTCTTGGAAGCGGACAGCGAACGCTGGGAAAACACCAGCAACTCACGCCTCTGGATACTTTCGCTGCCATTGGATCGCTGAGTGCGGGCCGCGTTGTGCCCACAGATGCCTCATCACACCACAAGTTGTTTTTCGCATTTCCCTTGTCGCTGTTCATAACTTCGTTAAGCGACAGAAATCCTACACAGGAGTGGTCAGACGCATAAAATTATGTTAGTCAGTCATAGAGGTGTTCCGAAGTCAACTGGGTTGAGTTTCTAAGATGTAATGATCTAGCAGTCCAACTATGAGATGTTACATTTGACGAAACGTCAAAGGCGCTAACAGGCTAGCGACATTTTCGTATACCGTGAATACGATGCCACCACTGAGTATGAGTCTTCCAAGCCTCATCGTGCTGCCACTCCAGAATCCTCGAATTCCCGCCGACCGAAGGATACTCCTAAACGCCTCCCTCGAGCTTGCGCCCGCCGCACTTTGCACTCTCGTCTTTATAGTATCAAATGGCTGAGTCGCATATACCGTGATAACGCCTGCGATCGCTCCTACCCCGAATGTAACAACGCTATTGTTTGGGAGATTATTTCGCCTCGCGGTCTCTTTGAGCATGTTGTAGGATCCCATGCGAACAGCAGACGTTGCCGATTGCTTTGCCGTGGTGGAAAGCAGGCCGCGGTATAGTCCAGGTATGCCTCGCTCATGCAGTATAACTCGAGCGGCATGCAGCCCGCCGCGAAATTTCTTTGCGCCTTTTGCGTCGTCTATCCTGCGACGATAATTAGCAGAGTCAAAATCCGAACTGCAGAGATCCTCACAAGGCTGTCTTGATGCGCTCTGTCGGAGTGACCGCAACGAGGCTCTCTACGCATCCAGCTGCCATCCCCGCTAGCACACCTCTTGAAGCGGAGAGCTTGCCTGATCCATCTGCCAGGAGGTTCTTGATAGAGTCGAAGCAGAGAAAGCGGACGCTGGCCTTGAAGGTTGTCCCCTTTGATATGTTCAGCCTCATCTGAGAGTAACAGGATCAGAATAGGCTTTACCAGAATCAGTGTGGAACAGCCTGTATAGATAGCTCGAACCCCATTTTTCTTTGCAACTTCGGCAATGACAGCGAATGGGTTTCGTGAGGTCGATCTTTGGTTTTGCAGCTGTGCTCGCGTTTTCGCGAATTCGAACGGATACTATCTCGTTGTATTTGAGTCAGCGTAAGGAAGAGGAGGGTCGAAAGTCTACTCAGTCATACTGTTAATGTGGCTTCAGTTCCACCTGCGATACCCCCGGCAACCAATGAAACCGCCGGTGAAATGTATGGCTTCTAACGACGACGTAAGTACATGCTGTACAGTTATCAATTTCGGTCTCACCTTAGGGCTAACAATCCTCTCTCGCGAACTCAGCGGCACGACTGATATGCTCGCCATTCTCAAGTTAAACCAAGAACAATTTCACACAAAGAGCGAGGTCAAGGCTGGTGGAGAAGAGAAAGCGCAGCAAAACAAGAAAGAAATATGCCCAGCCTTACTAATATAACTTCAATGTGGCATTTCTGAAGTTCAATAAACTTGCAAAGCCGAAGTGTCAAGCTTCTTCATACCATAGAAACTGAAGGAGTGTACGTGTCCCGTCGGGTAAGTCAACACTCGTTACCCGCTTTAGGCGACCTGTTGAACCCGCGCGCCGAAACTTAGCTGATCCGGTCTAGAGCTTTAAGGTTTTTCAACATAACTCGAGCTACTGCTCTTGGTGATTTTCCCTGCACAAGTTGAGTCGTCTGCGGCCTGAATCACTGTCCTTGGAGCCCGTTGCGGCAGGAATCCAGGAAGCCCGCGCATCTTGTGCGGTCGGCAGATGTGTTCAACACCGCGCCGTACTTGCCAAAACATCACAATCGTGAAGCCCATGGCACAGAAGGGCCGCAGCTGAGAAAGCCAAGCTGATAGAACGACAGCCCAATGGAAAGCCGAAAGATCAGCAGAAAGAGGCGCAGCAGAGCCGTGAGGATCAGAAGCCAGTTGAAGAAAAGCGTGTTGTCGGGCGCGTTCAGGACGGCCCGCCCAAATGGCCAAGGGCAGAAAGGTTTAAGCCGTGTCCACCCTGGCGTCGGGATTTGCTCGGTCTGCGTGGCCACGGCTTAATGAATCTTTCTGCCCTTAGGCCATTGAAACCTGCTAGCCGTCACTTCGGCCAAGCCTACCCCGCAGTCTTCACCCGCCTGTTCTTATTGCGCATCGTCCGCGGGCAGGAAACTTCCGTCTCCTTCCTATCCGTTCCTCCATCACCCATGGCTGGTAGCCGTCAATCAATGGAGACAGACCGCGGGGCAACTACCGCTCGGGGCCGTCCCCGAAAACGGGTTTCCGAGGCTTGTACATTTTGCAGGCAAAGAAAGGTATTGTTAGTTGACAAACGTGCGGGTACGGCGTATGCAGCTGGAGATGGAACCTAATCTTCTGCATGATTTCAGATCAGATGCAACAATGAGCATCCAGCTTGCGTCAGTTGCAGAACGTACAACAAAGCCTGCGTCTATGAGCCGATTGACGAGACAATAAGGTAATACAACAAATCACTTTATCCATGATAGGGTGCTTATTCTTTGCTTTTCTTCCTATTTAGTAGACAAAATCAACGTCCACGTCGAGAGAGGAAACGTCAAGCGCGCCAGACAGAAGATCACGTAGAGCAGCCTCAGAGAAGCGAAAGTATCGCTGAATCGAGATCCAATGTATCTCAGGCTCTGAATCACCAGAGCCTGCATCCCGCCGGTAGAGTTGACACTTGTTGCTCTCCTAAGCATTGATTGACTTCATGCTTTAGAGCCCTCTTCCAATCCCGTCGACAGTACAATAGACCATCAGCGGGCTGTTTCGCGCATCGTGTTCTCTGCCAATGGAGTTTCCAGCTATCACGGCCGCACAAGTGCCTTGTTTGAAGATAACTTGGTAGACCGACAGGGCACTAACCCAGGCCCAAAAGTTCCTTCGGAATGGGTACAAAAGGGCTTGATAGCAGAAGCCGCCAAGCAGCGTAAGGATGTTCTTTCGGCTTTCATCGAGAACGAGCTGACTGGCCTTCGCGGATAGATCAGATGGAGGCGGTGAACTTCAGGTCTGGGAAGTTGGATTTCGACGGTGTTGACCCAGAACTGGGTCAGCATCTCCTTGAACTTCACTGGAACCGGCAGCATCATTCGTTCTTAATCACCTACAGACCGGCGTTCATGCGCGACATGGCGTGTAGTGGACCGTATTTCTCCAAAATTCTCCTTAATGCCATCTACTTTGGGGCTTCTAAGTTTAGTCCCCGCTTGGAAGTTCGTAAAGACCCAAATGATGTTAGAACTGCCGGCTGGAAGTTCAGACAGAGGGTTAAAGAACTACTTGGTAACGCATTAGATGGTAGCGAAATCACTACAATACAGGCGCTCTTGGTCATGACCAATTCACTCTTTGCGCTGGGCGACGAGAGAAGCGCCGCATGGCTTTACGCTGGACTCGCCTTTCGGATGATCATCGATCTTGGACTCCAAGTTGATGCCTTGCCCAGCCTGCAGAAGTTCTCTGACGAGGACCTGGAGATCAGGCGAAGAGTGTTCTGGGGTGCTTTCGGTATACCTACCCACAATCCCAGTCCTAGCTCGACGTGCAGCTTACCTTTCTAGTGGTGGACAAGATCCAAAGCTTGTACCAAGGTCGACCTGTAAGCCTACAAGAAACAGACACCCGAGTGCCGATCTTATTCCTCGACACCTACGAGGAGCTCGAACAATGGGCTCCATTCGCCTATTCCGCGCAGTCCGATAGTAGATACTCTGGTTCGCCGGCGTACAGTGTTTCGACATTTACAGCGCTCTGCCAGCTATCAGTCATCATGAACGACATTCTAAACCACATCTACGCTGAACGGAGTTTTGATCGAGAGCCCACCGAGCTCTCAAAAATCCTCGAGAATCTGCATTCCAAGCTCGAAGTTTGGCACAACGCACTTCCTTCGCATCTCCTTTTTGATCCCACTAAGGCTCCGTCATTAGCACCCCCGCCGCATGTGCTATCGCTAATGTAAGTCGTGGCACAGAAGATCGGGTTCACTCGCTGATCACGAGGTAGTGCGATGTATCATGTTCTTCTGATATTGCTCCATCGTCCATTTGTAGCCGACGGCCATCTCTACACCACCTCCCGCTCCATTTCGGTTAACTCCTTCTTAACCTGTGCAACGGCAGCCTCCCAAATCGTCCGCCTGCTCAGAGCCTACGACAAAGCATTTTCAATTCGTCGAGCTCCTTACCTCATTTCCTATGCGACATACGTCAGTGCTACAATTCACGCGCGGATTGCTGCCAAACGGGGCCCGGGATCTGAAGCGCGTAGAAGCCTGGAAACATGCCTAGCTGTCTTTCGGGAAAACCAGGAGACCAACTGGGCTGTGAGAAGGGCTAAAGTCATAGTTGAAACCCTCATGAAGAGACTGGGCGTGGTCCTTCCAGAGGGGAGCAACAGAATGCAGATTAGTGATGAATCAAGGGAAGAGAATGAGATGGATGATGATCCTTCGAGTGCCAGCCGCAGCGAAATCAACGTCGATACGGAAGCTGTAACACCACGCCAAGAGGGTGCAATGGATCATATTTCGCCAAATCTGGACATTGATGCTGTCATTCAGAGTTTCGCACGAGAGCAACAGGAAGACAACGCTTTTCCCGAGAGAGGTTACACGAGTGCAGCCTTTCCCTCGTCTGGCATGGGTTACTCAATGCCGCGTCCTCATTTTGTTGATCCATCTACACAAGCGACGTACTATCAGCATCTCTCAGACTTTAACCCCGACATAAATAGTAACTGGCAAGAACCAGTAAATCCGTCAGCTGTATCTATCGATGATCTCCTTTTTGGTTTCAGTGGGTCAGCGCTAGATGGTTATTCTATTCCCGGATGGCCTTGAAAGTAACTCGGGTATCTTCAAAGACAAGCATGCTCTGTAACATAGCGCATCTATAGAGTACTCTTCATCTCTCCGTGTTCGAGAACTTATAATCTCCCTTTATTACGCCCTTCGATCATCTACCCTTCCCATTCCACTCCGTTACCATCGATCGCAGAAAACATTGAATACAATTTCCTTGAAGGAACGATTTCCTTTTGTCCCGAGGGCAAACTACTCTAGTTTGTGGAGGATCAAGTAAGAGATTAAACCCGAGGAGGCTAACTCAGTAGTGAAGAGATCGCAGGTATAACGCTTTGCCAAGTGGCGTCAGCACAAGGCCATCCTCGTAGGATATCTATAGAGGCATTTTACTTTGGGAGGAATTCGAGTGTCAGATGCAATTGCAGCGGTAGCCAAAACGTATTAGTAAGGAAGCGACTACAACTGCAATGCTTACGGAAGAATTGAAGACGCCTTAGGGGCTAGAGGAGCACGAGATGTCAAGGACGACTAACTACTGCAACAACTTTTGAACACCATGGATATTTTACCCTGACAAAATGTTGTCACTTGGATGGCGTCGTTGCGTCCGCATGTTGGAGTGTGGCATGATGTGGATTACGGGTACAAGCTCCAACGGGAACGGCAAAACCCCAGTTCGTTACCCGACGGGTGGAAAGCTCCAACAAGTACCCGTCAGCTAACTCATACCTGAAACCGCGTCCAGATCGTTAGTCTCCGTTGATCTTTCAGTAATCCGAAGCCTGCATGAGTATCCCGAGCAGCACATCTCAATGGTGCCACTGTCTCTGCTTCATTCCGCGGGTACGGTGAGTGTACATCCACGAACTGATGGTTCATTGCGGCCCGTTCTCGACCTCATCATTTCGGGAGAGATGTCCCGTATGCGAAGAAGAATTGATTGGATTTATCTCTTCCACGTTCGGCCTCATGGAGCGGCTGTCAAATAGAGTCAGTCCGGGTATATATATATAATTGCAATTCCTCACCTAGGTGTATATCAAATTTCATTCTTACTCTGCAAGTCGTCTTTACAGCTCTCTCGATGATCAAGTCCAGCTTCAAGCGCTTTTCGAGTCATCTGAGCACTATCACTGAAACACATCACCTCCCACTTCCGTTTCCACTGCCTACAATGACATCTGATGTCGAGCCACCGGTCGTTGAGCGCCGAAGGAGACGCTGCGTACTCCCAGCAGTGCTCATGCGGTCAGGAACATCGAAGGGACTCTTTATCCACCGAGAGGATCTCCCTACCGCACAAGATTCGTGGGCTTCTTTGATCCTTGCCGCAATGGGATCCAAGAACAGTGATCCGAGACAGATCGACGGTGTAGGAGGAGCAACGTCTACTACTTCAAAAGTTGCCATAGTCGCGTCTTCACAAAGACCTGGGATCGACGTTGAATATACGTTTGCTCAGGTAGCGGTTGGCCGAGACCGGGTGGATTATAGCGGGAACTGTGGAAACATCGCCTCTGGAGTCGGTCCATTCGCCCTTCAAGAAGGCTTGGTCAGACCGGAACCCGGCCAGAGACAGGTTAGTGGATCGCTCTCCTTTCCCAATGCCTAGCTGTTTTGCATGATGTATAGGAACTGATTTGATCGGCTCAGATGGACATTCGAATTTTCAACACCAACACTTCTCGGACGTTGGTTGAAACGGTCGAGGTCGATGAAGAAGGAGGATTTGAAGAGGACGGAGATTATGAAATCGCTGGTGTGAAAGGAAGCGGCAGTCAAATCGAGGTAGCTTTCATGAACCCAGCAGGCAGCATGACTGGCAGGTTGTTCCCAACCGGGAACCGAGAGGACATAATCATCGTCAATTACCCGCAAGGAGGTGGAGGACCATTCAGCGTTCGAGCCAGCCTTGTTGATGCTGCCAACCCCTTCATCTTCGTGGATGCTTCAACAATGCCATTGCTCTCCACGGCTTTGGAGCTGAGGTCGCTACAGTTTCTCGCTATCATAGAAGATATCCGCCGGGCCGGCGCCGTCCTCTTTGGGCTCGCTAGCAGCACAGACGCAGCGGCTGATGTCCGTGGAACTCCCAAGATCGCCCTTGTGTCCCGTCCCACAGCATTCCCTAGTAATACGTGCTGCGACCGGGCTCCCGACATCCACATAATAGCATTCAGCATGGGTCTACCACATCCTAGCCTTCAGTTGACCGGGGCGGTCTGTCTCGGAGCAGCCATATCTATGGAAGGGACTGTTCCATATCGAATAGCCGCCTCACACCTAACGCTCCCGCCAACACCAGAGCCGACGCCTTCTCCGCCCGACTTAGGACATTATACACCATCAAAATACGACAAGGGGTTGTGGAAGAAGGAAATCTGCATTGAGCACAGTAGTGGTTCTATTCAGGTCGACGTCAGAGTTGCGCTCACGCCTACTAGCGTTGAGGTGGAAAGCTGTAGCGTCTCGAGAACTGCCCGGAGACTATTCGAAGGCAACGTGCTGTTTCACCTATAAGTGCTTTCTTTCACTTTGGTACGTCTTGGATCTAGATTAGACAACCGTTTAGCGGAGTAGCGTACAAAGATATCATTGGTTATTCTTAATGTATTGATATACTCCCTGTGTCTGGTCACCTAGTTACGCAATCTTACTCGATACAGCATACTACTCTAGACGGTCAAAATTCTGTTGGTCATTCCAGTTCCAGTTACAATGGCCGCTGAACTGAGCACCGCCACTTTGACTTGTGCCGAGGGCGGTCAGCTCTAAGCACGCCGTGAGCGTGCCCTAAATAAGCACCGCAAAGGGGAGCTTAATATGGCTCTCATGGAGGCCACTTTCCGGCTCTTCTGAGCCCCGAGCATAACTACCCAGCGGTATCTCAGCTAAGTTTCGGCCAAGGTTGCTGCCTTAAGTAGAGTAGACTTAGCCACTTCCTTCAATCCTTCGTGAGACTCAGCCACGACGAATCGGGCTGCACCCAGACTGGGTGCACCCAGCTGCTAACACACTCTACTGTAGATAGCGCTAGCCTTTCCAAGTTAGGCTAATAGTGCCAGCTAGCAGATGTGAAGTGATGCGAACTTTTGCCCAACAGCCCCAAGATCATGTATACCACTTTCGAACAACCATAAACCCACATCTTCGTCCTGCCTGACGGCCGTAACCTCTCCTACGCTATCTACGGCGTGTCCCAGTCCTTCCCACCCCCACCCACGCTCTTCTACTTCCACAGCTTCCCCTCCTAGCGCCACGAAGCCGCCCTCCTCCACCCCGCCGCTCTTACCCATAGCGCCCGCCTCATCGCACTCGACCGACCCGGGATAGGGCAGTCGAGCTTCCTCCCCAAGCGCCGCCTCCTGAACTAGCCCCTAGATCTGCTCGCTCTCGCCGGTAACCCGGGCGTCCAGCGATTCGGCTGTGTTAGGACCTCGGGCGGGGGCACCTACCTCCTAGAGTGCTACCACAAGATCCCGCGGGCGCGGCTCAAGGCCGCCGGAGTGGTCGCAGATATGTACCCGACGTCGCTTGGCACGCAGGGTATGCTGTCCAAGGCGCGTGTGATGCTGTGTCTTACGCCTTAGGCCACTAGTCTTATTGCCGCGGGGCTTGGCTGGGCACTCGGGAAAGCGGCGCGCGACACAAAGCGCCCCGAAGCATACGCGGCGGCTGTCGCGAAGAGCTTTGAGTTGCGATCGGAGGCGGATAGGATAGTGTGGCGCGCGGACAAAGGCGGGCTCCATGAGATCCTGTTGGAGAGTATAAGGGAGGCGGTGCAAGAGAGGTCACAGGGCCCGGCGTACGAGACGAAACTGTACAGGAGCGATTAAGGCTTTGAACTCAAGGACATCAAGGTGCAGAAGGGCACGCTGGTACTACGCTCGTACGGTGCCCTGAGCACAGATCTGGACCACTGCGAGGGAAACATGATCAAGGATTTCTTTAATCAGGTCGGCGTAAAAGAAGCGTGGGAATCTGATGACCGTATCTAGAAGTACTCGAGAGAGGATGTTGAGCGCACGAGTGATCAGCCGGAGAGCTGAGGCTTGTTTGTGGTTGATGCAAGCAAAGCTTCTTTTCTCATGTTTTCACCCAACGAGGGGACATCTTGTGTAAAGGCCATAGGCGGATGTACTGTCTGATTACCATAGGACGTTTCGTTAGACGACTTTGCTTAACAACACCATAACGCCGCCTCAGCCTACGCCTCGCTAGATGACGTCCAAATGCCTCTGTTGCTCTCGCTACCCATTCGCGGAGTTTCTCTTCCTTCTCCTGCAGCTGCCGCTTCCCGTTTCGATCTCTTTCCGACACCCGCCTCTCAGGCGATAGCAAGCCTAGCTCCATGAGCTCGTGTTCCCATAGCCAAATTGGCTCATCACCTTGAGGGGACAGGGTCGGTTGGATGGATCCGTTACGACCAGAAAGACGGTGGAAGGCGCCATTGTCTCTCTGGCCAAGCCGGGAACTGCGAGAACTCGCGCTGGGAGATCAAGAAGTATGGCTGGTCGCGCTCTGGAGAGCGCCCAAGGGCCAACCGAATTAGAACATTGCCGCTTTGGTGCCGTGCGACAACGAACGGGCTTCTACCGCCACGCAACAGATCCTTGTTTAGAAAAAGCTGAAAGTCTCCTGCTTCTTCACTAAAAGAATGTGATAGCTTCTTCTGTTTCTAATATATCGAGTTGATATGCCGTTATTAAGAGTGATACTGATGATATTAAGCCTGGAATATCATCGGCATAAGCGGCAACGTTTAGTTTGGTTGACCTTTGGCCCCAGAGAGTGAACCTTGTCCTCCATGCACCGGGGCGGAACACTGGAAGACGTTGCGAACGATACTTGGACCTTACTGCTTACAACAAGCGCTGCGCAGATTACCTACGTCTATTGTCTGATTGGCGAAGCGTGACCTCGCTTAACCGCCCACACCGTTTAACGCGGCCCTAAACAAGGAGGTGAAGTTTATTTATACTGCAACGTGGGATGCTTGCAAGGGGAAAAACTAACTACCTAAGGCAGATGACCTCACAGACTAACGAAACCACATCCTAGTCTTCACCAAACCCTTTTACGAAAGGCCCGAAATCTAGCGCTTCAATGACAAATTTAGCGGCTACATTCATCGAGCATGCATGAGAGCCTGAGAAGTTTTGTCAGCCGACATCGATTTCCCGCACTCAAGCAAATAGTCCGCAGCGAAACAGGACCTCCTCAAGTTCTAAGTCTTGGGCTTCAGCACCTGCCGCTTGCGATGACGCTAGGGCAGGAGTACAGCGCCTTCGCAGATCAACTTGATGAGCCTCGGCCGGCTATCTTACTTCCCCGCATCTTCTGTTGATCATCGAAAACATTATGCGTCCACACAGCTGAAAGAGGCGGCTGATCGTCATCTTGCGGTCCGCAGCGGACGATCATGCGCCTCTCAAGGACATCATCCTTGAAACTTCTCCCCACGCTGTCAGGGTCGTACCAGATCTGGGAACCTCTCCGCTGTGGTGACCTAACTGAATGCTTTATGCCTTTGCCTTTCTTAGACGTATCTCCGCATCCTCTCAGTGGTCTTGCCCCCTTGTAACCCCTGTCGCCGAGGTTACTCTCATTTCTCCAGGGCCAGAGAAACATCGATAGTGTTTACGTCGATAGTGAGTCCTGGCAGAGTTGGACATTCATGGCTGAATAGGGTAAGAGATACTCTTCAGCACAGGTGGCATATAAAAAACCCCGTTCAGTTTCTTTCGTATCACTATCAGTCCATTTTCATGGGCCAGCAACTCTGACTCCACTTCATCCGACGTCTCTTCGCTCCCTACCGTTCATGATGAAGTATTCTTATCTGGCTTTAGGCGCTGCTGTCTTTGCTGGACATGCGGCAGCTTTCCCTGCCCTTGCTGAAGAGTATGCTAAGTTGGCTACTCGGATTGCGAGTGGAGGGAAACGTCAAGCCGCCTCCCCTGGCTTCAACGCCGCTGCGCAGCGCATAGATGTTTCAGGCACACATGCTTTCGTCCCTCCAGGAAGTGGGGACCAGCGAGGACCATGTCCTGGACTTAATGCTTTGGCAAACCAGTTAGTAGCGACGCACTCAGACCGGACGCTTGTTAACGTGTGACAGTAATTATCTCCCGCACAATGGCGTTGGGACCATCCAGCAATTTATTCAGGCCACGAACCGAGGTATGTGCCTTGAATCATTACGCAGTTTACCTGTCCAAGATTCATATACTTGAAATCACCCCACGGTTTCTCTTCGAACAAATCCGCTGTGGTTCTTATCACTGCTCGTATGTGTACGGATGAGCTGACCGAGAACCAGTGTATGGGATGGGTCTGGATCTCGCAACATTTCTAGCCACCTTCGGTGCCGTTATGGCTGGAGATCTAGTCTCTTGGTCTATCGGAGGGCCACCAGGCTCATCAGCTATCCCTGGCGGCGTACTCGGCCAACCACAGGGCATATCGGGCTCCCACAACAAATACGAGACCGACGGGTCGCCCACACGCGGTGACCTCTACCAATAGTATGTTCTCTACGATCTCTCTTACTACGCCGGGCTGACGCATAACAGCGGCAATAACTTCCTCGTGCAACTGCCGCAGTTTGAAGAAATGTACAACCTGCAAGCCGGTGTGCCAAATGACCAATCGAACTACGATCTCCCCTTGTTGACCGAGTTCCGTTCGAGCCGCTTCGAGCAGAGCATTGACAACAACCCCTATTTCTTCTACGGTCCCTTTTCGGGTGTAGGCGTGCAGCCCGCCGCCTACACCTTCATCTTCCGTTTTATGGGGAACAAGAGCGCCGAGAGGCCAGAGGGTCAACTCACTAAGGAAGTACTTAAATCTTTCTTTGCTATCAGTGGCACGGAGGGCAACTTCACATATGTAAGTCTCTTAATCATCCTTGTTGCGCCCATGGTGTCTGTTATTCTTCCGCCTCAATTTTCACCATGCTGATTTAGCCACAGACGGCCGGCCACGAACGCATCCCGGAGAACTGGTACAAGCGCGCCCCCGGCGACGAGTACACCATTCCCTTCTACCAAAGCGACCTGAACGCCGCTGCCCTCCGACACCCGAAATTCCTCATCCCGGGTGGTAACACCGGCGAGACAAACACCTACACGCCAGTGGATATCGCGAACCTGACTGGTGGAGTCTACAACGCTCAGAACCTACTCCAAGGCAACAACCTTGCCTGCTTCGCCTTCCAGGCCGGAGCCCAGGCCACGCCGGATATCCTGAAGGGCCCGGTGAACGCTGCGCAAGCTGCCGCTGCGAGAGCGAGGGCGAACGCTTTGCTGGCTCCGCTGTTGGATCGGCTGGGATGTCCGAGATTGCAAGATATTGATGAGTCGCAGTTTGAGAAATATCCTGGTTATGAGAATTGCCCGGATGGCTGTTCGAGGTATTAGATCACTGGAATAATTCTTGAGTATACGGACTGCATATCTAGGTAGGGAGCATGTCTTTCTTGGGTATAGGAGAAGATGATGAGTGTATACTTATAGTACGAAGTCTTAGCAAGAATCACTCATCGTATTAAGGAGAATGGAGGGGCGAGTGCGAAATCTGTGATAATTACTTCTGACAAGAAGGCGAGCAATTCTTTAACCCCGCGGGCGCTGCGAGCAAGCTGATACAGCCGTCAAGTATCCAACGCTCTACTTCGGACGAGCGTGCATGCCTGAACACGTGAAGCAGCGGGCCCTTTGCGGCCGGGATAAACAGACCTAATATAATCTAATTGAACAGTGTCGTTACGCATTCAGTGCCTAGAGGCCTCCAATTCGACGCCGTGACGCCGTCTGTTGTGAGGAATGCTTTAACGGGCAGACAAGACGCTGATATGAAATGGGTATAGCTCGATGTCCTTGACACCGATATCACCCCGGATTTCTTCCTGCTTCTCATAAATCATTCGCTATGTTGACCACAGTACCTTCGACGCCGTATGCCATCTTCTTTTGAGTATATCCAGCGTGGTTCGAGGGCTGCTCAACCCGGGCACTTATCAGAAGGCAGTCCTTCGAGTGCTTGCACCACCTTTGCCGCGTCGGCTGTTTCGGTCTAGGCGTTGGAAGAGAACGGAAGTGCTACTGTAAGTTTGCAAGGTTGAGATGGATATTCTTCGCCATCTGGGGCATCTCCATCTCGCAAGCATGACCTCCACCGTAATCACAGACCTGAGAATTCAACCACCATTTCGGAGCGGATTAAGTATCCTTACCGCCCTGTTAGAAAGGGTTTTAAGCTAAAGGCAGGATCACGACGTGTTTTAACCATATATACGCAACTATAGAGGAAACTAAGGACGTGAAACTTCTCTTGTGACGATTCACGTGCGCGTGGTTTCACGATCACGCCAACGGGCCAAAAGGCACAATGTTCGATCGATAGATCGAACCCCACGCTACTACATATAGGTAAACCATGACATCTCTAGTAGGATATACAGACGTACGACTGTTATATAAACGTTTTCCAGCTTTGTTCTATTAAAGCATTGTGGTGCGCTATGTTACGATGTTCCTTATCTTATCGTACCCTTGCTAGCATGAAGGTGAAGAAAAATTCGAGTGAGTGATTACATAGCGGACTAGCAAAACTCACACGGTGGCCGCCAATCCATCATCTGCTGGTTCTGTCAGATGTTTATAATATTGGTGACAAGGTTGAGGATGGTCAAGATGATGTTGAATATAGAATCCGGAGAGAAGAGCGTCTGAGACATATTTTGGATGTCATCGACGGGCTCAGGACTAGTTGTGGAATAACATCCTTTGAGGCCAGGTCTGATTCCATAATGGCAGCGATGATAAGCACGAAGCGGAGAGTCATAGTGAGCGTCCTCTTCAAGGGCGCTTTTATGCGGAGATGGACCTTCTGTTTAGGTTCAGCAAAGCACGAAAGAGGAAACATAGGAGCTTTTGCAACGTCTACGGGGAATTACAAAATCCCGTCATCGAGGGACGAAAGTTGGCGGACCTCGAGGAACTTTGGTTTGTAACCTACGGTGAAACAACAACTCGCACCTTGGCACAAGATGTTGAACCACGAATAAAAAACCGAATGGCTTTGGCGAGGCTCTGGACCTTTCTGGTATGCACGTTCGGGAATTTGGAGATCAACCTCTCTAGCTGAGACTCGGAACCGTTTGATATGCGTGGCTGAAACTTTTGAGGAAACTTTTGAGCCGTAGAGAGACCATGCGCTGCCGGCAGCCTTTAAATTGCCGCGTATTAACATGGCGCTAGAGTCCCAGCTTCACTCTTAGAAGTAAGCGGAAAAAAACATATGAACGAGGCGGTCTTCCCACTAAGTCGAGAGTTAAGCTCTCTACTAGTTCAATTCCTACTATCTAAGGAACTGAATCCAATACACTCCTGCCTCTTATAGATCCTATACATAATCCTACTGCTTCTCCTGCTTCTTGCTTCGACCTCTTAGAGCATAATGATACTCTCGAGCGCTAAATTCTTAATCTTTACCTTGATTTTCAATCGGCTACGTCGCGGCCTCTCCAGTTGTTCTACGCAAGCAAGGACAGAGTGTCATCGTCGGCTATAGAACCGTCAGCCCCGTATGTTAACATTTTCGTTTCTTTAAGCCACAATGCTCAGCGCACAGTACTAACTTTATTGCGTGCAGATGTAAGCCAAGCTTTATAACGACGCTGGCACATTCACTAACGACGAGAACATAATCTCGACGCAGATTGGTAAGGGCGTTTACACTAGTCCTGGCCGCGGAGGGTGGGCTGGTAGCTCGAACAGTTAGCTCGCAACCGCTATAGTACTTACTTATCCTAAGTTCTTACATACTTCGCAGGTACTGCGTCACTCTCGCCGACTCCAACGCTATTAACCGCGTCTCTAAGGCATGGGTGCCGAAGGAATATGACCGTGAGCAGCTGTGGTTTAGTCGAGACGAGGTCTTCGACAACAACATCAAGAAGCTAGAGAGCTTATGGAACCCGGCTAAGACCCTGCGTACGTCTATTATTGAAGGCAAGGAGTTAAACAATGTCCAGCTGATGATCCCACCTGGGCTGCTCAATTCGAATGGCGGTAGTATGGGTCTGACGGCTTCGTGTAAGGAGAGGATTGAGGATATTCCAGGCCATATTGTCAAGTATAACGACTGGAAGTACAACATTAAAGGCAAAAGGCAGTAAATGAACTCTAGTAGCTCCCTTTCTTGCTAAAAGAAGTTCGCTCTTTATTAGCGGTTACATCTCCTCGTACGAGCCTACTGGACAATGTCTTGTCAATCCTGCAAAGATGGGAGAAACTGCCGGAAATATGTAGCTTCTTCGCTAGGTCTATCTACGTCTTCAGCTTCAGACTCTGTGGACGCTTTGATATCCGCTGTTTGGCGCGGTCTTTGTCCCATGCAGCCTGAAGCTTCTGCAGGTACCGCCCCAGCACTCGCAAGCGTCTTGGGAGTGATTCCGAATTCGAAGGTGATGTCTGTGCCGTTACGTTGCAGCCGGATCTCATCCGTGCCTTTACACCGCCGATATACGCTTGCACCACCCCTCTCCCCCGCGCTAATGACTCCGACGAATTTCAGACCCACGTCATCGGCGACCACTACCTCGTCCTACACCGCAGCACCTCGCACGGCAGTCGTCGACGACAAAAGTCCTTTCACTCCCAAAGCTTCATTGCGTCTGGTGCTCCTCCTAGCTCCTTCCACTCATGTCCCGGAGGGTACGGCGACTTGTCAAACACTAGACGAAGTGCGAACCTCGGGGTATACTGGATCTCCTCTGTTCGCATGGCGTCGAGAGGTGTAAGGAATTTGCCTTTCTCTAGGCTAAGGGTGTACGCCTTCGGCAGGAAGGCGTCATCCGTGAGCAGCGACTCGTTTATTCTGTATTTATGCACCTCTGTATGGCCTAGTTTCAGAATGCGGCGTTTCGTGAGCGTTAGTTCGATGTCGAACTAGCCTATAAGATGCGGATCTTCGCGAGTGTCGCTGCTGATGTCGACGACCTGGTCGAGCCACTCGGAGCTCTGGAGCTTCCAGTCGAACTCCGCGGCGATCCATACGTTCAACTCGTAACGACATAATAACTTCAGCTCGTTTACTAGTAGCTACATCTCAAAGACCCAGATCACGAACAGCTCGCCTTGCCCGTGCCATTCCTGTTAAATGTGATCTGGTTAGCATCCATTGAGTCCCAGTGCCAGCTCTCGGCGTCAAGGGTAGGGAGTAGAGTCTCGCTCATGTTGGTGGTCGTAGTAGGGTAATCGTGGTCGAAGTTGAAGTGTGGATGTGCTGCTTCGTTATTGCCGCAGCCGTTTTTAACTGACTACTATGCTCTATTTCAATAATTGTCATCGAGAGAGTTTGTGTCAGAAGTTGGCAAGCTGTACGACGATTCCATTGTACCATTTCCAGTTCGCGAACAGTCGGTGAGCGGCGACAGCGTTGTCGGGCCCACAAGCGTCCCAGGCCGACCCTACCGCTGGAAGGGTCTCCGGCTCTCCATAGCCACACGCCAACACACACCACCTTCCCCACAGACCACCTGACCCGGCTCGCCGTCATCCTCCCCCTCCTCCTCACCCGCCTCGACACCAACCTCGCCCACAGCACCTCCCTTGCCATCCGCCTCGCGACCAACCTGGAGAACAAAAACCCGCGCATCTACGGGCAGTTTACGGAACCCAGCCTCATTCACCCGCTCGTCAACGCCATCACTACGACGTTCTAGACGCTTAACTTCGCTACTATGAAAGAGGATAAAGTGACGTATCTCGTAACGATTGACCGGCTGGTCCTACTTCTCGGGTGCGGCGATCAAACCTGTTTGCGTACAGCAAGGCGTGCCGGATGGTTCCACTGCCCACCACCTCTCCTTCCTCAATCGCCGCAGCAGGAGCAGCAGCCGGGACTACATCCCCCACCCCCCTTGACCTCCCACGAGCCTTCAAGGCTGGTCGCGGCCGCGTCTCTGCGCTGATAATGGCTAAGCCGCTAAGATGACTGCGCTGAGATTGAGGGAGGAGATATGCTCCGCTTCCCAACGGTGCGGGACGGCTAGCCTTGATCCAGGCTGACCAGGCTGTAAGCTGCGGAGGCAGCATCCCGAATGGTTGCGCCCCAATCGAGGAGGTGTTCCTTGGAGACATCGAATGCTGTGTCTGAAATAGTATTTACCAACCTCATAAACACTACTCTGGCGTTGAGTTACTTAAGAATCGTGCGGCCGTGCGATGCGGCAGGCGGGCGATTGTCGCGTGGAGAGCCGTGCGGGCGGGAAAGTTAGACGAGTCGTGTGGGGTGTTATGCGATATGTCGCGCATAAGAAGCACACGCAGGAGGGTTAGAGTCATATCATACAGAGAGGCATGACATACTAATATAGACAGCGGATAGTCTATAAAGTACTCTGTGTAGTGGCATCGCTGGAGATACTTTCTTCAAGAGAATCCTAGCGCCCTAGACCTCTAACCTTTGCGCGTCTTCTCTGTACAGGTCTAGCTTGTTTCTGGAATGCACAATATCAACCCTCTTTAAAACGCCGTGAAGCCACCATCCGCTGTGATTATCGCGCCGTTAATAGCCTCAGCTGAATCCGAGGCCAAGTGCACGACAGTCTTCGCAACGTGGTCAACTTGGACGAAGTTGGGATGCACGGCGAGCATGCTCTGGGTAACCTTTACTAAGCTCTCATTGGGACACGCTGGCATAGAGTGAGCGATGTTCGTCTCCATGGTTCCCGGAAGGACAATATTGCAGCGGATGCCCTGCTTTGCATACGCCGCGGCGGTGTTCCTGGTGATGCCGACGAGCCCGTGCTTGCTTGCTGTGTATGCCGCGCCTGCTCAGCCAGATATCGTCAGCTCATACTTTGTAGCAATCGTACGGCTCACGGAAAGAAAGTCGGGAACACAAGATGCTGCGTTACGTTGGCAGTAATAGTGCGGCCTCTTGACAAGGCTGAGAACACCCGATGGATGGAGTATCGCAGTGAGAAAAGTCGGAGTAAGAGATGACTGGAATCTCACCCGCAAGAGCGCCTCTAAGGGCTGCTATAGAGCCAATGTTCATGATAGCACCACTAGGCTTCTCGCGCCCAAGGAAGTGCTTCACCGCATACTTGGACATGAGGACCGGGCCGGTGAGGTTGACCGCAATGACACGGTTCCAAAGCTGTAAATCCAGCCCATCAACGGGATCGAAGGCATCCATGATACCAGCGCAGTTGATCAGGACGTCTAACCGGCTGAACTTGTCGATGGCGTGCTGAATTGCCTTGGCAGCGGAATCCTCGTTCGACACGTCCGTAACGACCTTTGAGAGCTTGTCCGGAGACTCAACATTCCCTAGCTCTTTCTCGCATTCTTCGAGCGACTTTTCGTTGATGTCGGAAATAACAACTGTAGCCTTGGCACCCAGGCAGGCTATCACGATGGCTTTTCCTAGTCCGCTTGCGCCACCAGTCACGAGCACGACTTTGCCATCCAGGAGATCGCTCATCATGGGAATATCTTCGTATCAGACCCTGCTAGGCAAGCAAAGCTATCTGTGGAGCCGCGAAAGGCCGGAGAATCTGGAATCCTGATAACAGCAATTAGGCAGGAGGGAGTTTTACGATCGCTTTTGCGGTTCATTTCTCGGCAGCGCGGCAGCTCACAGCTCCGGAGCGGGGCTCCGCGAACAAAAACCACTTGACACACAATCGGTAGCCAAAAGTCTTTCCGCATTTTAGCCGTTCCCCGCACTCTTACGACGAGAGCACCATCTATTCTAGTATGCGCATCTGTATAATATAATAGCGTGCATTCTTTTAGGTTTAATTATAGCTTTAAGAATAAATAAAAAACACGAGATGTGCCTGTTTTATACTAAAATAGTTTCGAGAATTCTTAGAAAGTACTCTCTAAGGTAGATTTAAACCGCAGATCTTCTATAAGGTAAATAAAAGAATAAAGAATACAGTATAGGTTAAATTCTACTATAAGCGCATATTATATATTCTTAAAAAGTACTTTTATAGGTAGACTCGAACTATAGACCTTACGTATAATACTATAAGCACTATATAGAATGCAATTCCTTTATAAATTACGTAATACTATATATATATAAAGTCTCTATGCTACGCGTAGGCTGCATATTCCTAATATGTGTTAGCGTATATTAGCGTGCGTAGAATAGCGCCAGCATCCTCTACTGTATATAGGTTAAAACACTATAAACCCTATAACCTCCATCTAACTAATAGCTCTTAACCGTAATTACGTATATCTCTCTTATTAAGTCTATCTAACTAGCGTGTATACTTAGTATAGCTAGTATCTAGGTTGTTATTCCTACTCCTAGCTATATAGCTACTAGCTAGGGTGTAGGTAGAGGCGGTAGCGGTAATAGAAAGCGTAATCTATAGGTACTAGATTATACTTACTAGATTAAAGCCACTAATCCTCCCGCGTTATTAGCTAAAGGTATATGTACTCTATAAAAAGTAGCCTATAGATACTATACTAATAGGCGTAAAGCGAACCTAATTAAGTTTATAAAGAGAGTCCTCTACACGAAGAGCACCCTAAGTAGTAGTTATAAGTAGTTTCTTAATAGCCTCTCTAAGCTTAGTAACGCGCGCCTATAGTTCTACCTAAACCGCAATAGTATCTATAACCTTAATTAGTCTATATTCCGCTAGCCTATAAAGCTATATATCCACGCTCTACTATATAGAACCCCTTATAATAGCTATACTAATAGTAATAATAGCCTATTTACGGACTACTACGTTCGCTCTAATATCTATAATGGCGCCTATAGTAACTATATATAGGGTGGCCACTATAAGCGCTATAATCTAGGCACTAAATATAGTATATAAATTAACGCAGTCGGTTATATAGAACTAATACTAATATACTAGTAGTCGCTCTAGATTCCCACACTAGCGTCTCTAGCCCTCACGCCTTAATATCTATAAACACTCTATAAGATAGTACTCTCTCTCCGCCTCTTACTTATAGCCGTATATAATCCCCTTAGTAACTCCCCTACTTCGTCTTCCCTACTATAAGGCGCTATACCCTTCTTAATATAGCTTATAATACTAGTAATTCTAATAATCTCAACCGTAGCTCCACGTATATAGCTATATAAATTACTAAGAATAACATCTACTCGGCTATATAGCGTGTGGGCTATCTAGTTCTAAACTAGAGCCTTAATAGTACCTACCGCTTCACTATATAAAAGGTAATAGAGAAGGATAATAATAAAGAGAAAGAGGAGTAGTAGAGCTTTACGAATAATAATATAGATATAGGCAGCTAGTTATATATACTACTACTTTGGACAGCCTATATAGTCTTCTATAATAGTATAAAGCAGGTAGGATTACTCTTTTATAGTCTCTAACTCTTATAGTAATAGGTATAATACTATATTATACCTAGTATATAATACGGGTATAGCGTTTATAGGTATATAGATAGCACGCTACCTTATAGCTTTTAATAGTATTAATTAAGACTATTCCTACTTTTACACCTAACTTCTATACTAGTAATATCTATAACACTATATAATACTTATATTTCTACCTTCTATCTATACTAAGCTTCCGCAGACCTATTACTAGTAATACTTAGCTAATAGACCTAGACGCGATATATAGTAAAGTAATATATATACTTAATATGCTACTAATCCTCTCTTACTAGCCTCTATATTCTACTATATCTAAAGCACCTCGCTATACACTATATTCTTTAGGCGGCCGCTATAGGCGATATTCGTATTAGGTAGCACTATATAGATACTATTAGGACGGGTAATATAGCTAAGCGCGATATATAACTAGCTATAGCTAAACACCTCTAGACTAAGAAGCAGGCTAATATTAGATAGACTATAGCCCTACACCTTATTAATAGTTATTATAAAGGCGAGCCTGACGGGAAACTAGTGCTATATAAACTTAAGCCCTTAATTAGAGCTAGACGTATCTAAGGGTATATGTAGTAGCTATATAATTGCACTATACCTCCACGTCTCTAGAATTAAGCAGTATAGTAAAGTGTGGGATGTAGAGAGAACTACTAACTACATAATATTATAGAGGCCATTATCTAGATTGAGGTTATAAAGTAGTATTACTAGGTAGCTAAGCTTAAGGCAGAGCGCGTATAGAGGCAGCTATAGAATATTAATAAAGTGTAGGAACTCCTTAGAAAGGGCTGCAGCTTCTATACTATTCTTATAGTAGTCTACCGAGTAGAATATCGTCTCCACGCCTAGTATTACATTAAGTAGCAGCTAGTTCATACTATCTACTATATTATTCTTTAGCGCGAGGATTACGGAGTCCTATAACTAATCTATAGGTAGCTGCTAGCGCTTAAGGCTAGGAAATATAGTAGTAGCAAGCGCCTCTATACTATTACTAATTACCTAGTCCTATATATCCTAATAGACCCTCCTATCTAGATTAATATACTCGCTAATATAGAGTAGCTGCTTTATAAATACTATAATCTCCTAGCACTCACCTAGGGCAAGATTCGGGTAGTATAGGCGCATATTCTATATAAGATAGAAGGTGTGCACGCGGTACTATAAGATAGAATACTTAAGCGTTGTGTTAATAATCTAGCTATAAGTCCTCTACTTAACTATAGATAGAATCTAGCAGAAGTTACTATAGAAGCACACTATAATACCACTAAAGGGGAGCTACCACTAATTATTACTCTTATCGCGGAGGTTCTATAGCATCTATAAGACTACCTCTACTATATAGTAATAGTATATTACTACCTTATTCTAGAAAATCAGGCGCGTCTCCTATAGAAGCTCTATAAGGTAGGACCGCTTAGGTATATTATAGGTTAAGTACTTATTAATATTAATTAGGATCTTAAAGTAGGAGTGCGCGGTAGTGCCTCTAGTAAGTAGGGTTATAGTAATACTAGATGTTACTACCGCAAGCACTACCCTATTCTATAGCTACTAGTAGGATAGCACGGCATTCTATAGAAAGGTTTTACTAGTACTACTAGAGCTATTAATAAAGAAGAGACCGCTCTAATTAGATTCCACCACCTAGTTAAGTAGGTTAAATATAAGCCGCTACTCGGTGTTTAGGCGTAAGAGGCTATTAGTAAGGCTAGCCTATATCTCCTCCGTATTAAATATAAGCTACTTATATAGGAGACGGTTACGGTGGTCTATAGAGTCTTTAAGCTAGCTATACTAGAGCTATAGGAGACTATAGCTATCTAGCGTTCGGTTATAGCGGGCGAGGCTTATATAAAGTAAGTAGAGTATAAGATCCTTAGCCTACTCCTAAGTCGACTTCTAAACGCTATATATAGTCCGCAGCTAGTAGTAGTAGTTATCTACAAGATTGCCGCGGAAGCGGTTTTATAGCGCTATAGGGTCCGCAGGCCTATAGCTCGCTAGTATAGTTATAAAGAGCTTATATAGCTACCACCCTAGCTAAAACTCCGCAGCTTCCGCTAGCGCCTATAAGTACTCTCTATCGTTCTACAGCAGCCCGTAGGTAAGGTAGGCGGCCTAGAAGGTTGGGTGAACCTAGCTCTTAAAGGTGCGGGCATCCTTAAAGGAACGCTAGCTAGCGATATTTACTAGTAGTAGGTGTAGGTAGTATACCTTGCCCGCTATAATAGGAAGCTATATAATATAGCTAACTATAAAGCCTTTATAGCGGGGAGCCTACTACTTATAACCCTTACTCTATATATAGTACACGGGAAAGTCCTAATAGCGCCACTTAATACAGCCTCTTACGTTTATTATAAAGAACTTAGTAAGTATAGTCCTATAGATTATATTACGGGCGAGGTGGGCCTTAATATACTAGTTAGCCTAGAAGTAAATAGGCTACTTACCCTTAAGATAGAGCGCAAGCTACTATACTAGAACTAAGTAGCTATGCGTGTAAAACTTATATATACGCTAAAGAGCCTCGTGCGCGGTAATATATTAAGTATTAATATACTTCTAAATCTTATCTACTATTGTGTAGGGTGCTATACTAGGCTGCTACTACTACTACTACACTTATAGCGACATTATAGCGCGGTTAGAGCCTTTAAAGACGTATTTAAACGTGTACTTAATAGTGTTATAGCCTATATAGGACTCCACGTTAATATATGCGTTAAAGTAGATAGAGAGGTAGGGATTATAGGCTATAACATCGCGATTATTATACGTATAGCCTTATATACTCTTCTAAAAGATTCGCCTATTATCTAGGCGCTTATAATAGGGCCGGCGGTTATCACTAAGTATAGTCTTATCCTAAAACTAATATGGGAAGCTAAACCTATACTTACTATCGCGTATATAGCCTACGGCTAGGTACCGCTCCTTATAAGGGCTATATAGTATATTATAGGTAACTATATTATAGAGTAGAGGCTCTACTACTAGATTAGGAAGGTCCGCGTAGATAGCTATATTAATATCCTCTATAGTGCTATAGCGGG